CCTGAAAAAGCCTCTGTCGAAGAAAAAACTCTATCCGGTTTTGAGAAGGAAAACAGTGAAGCCGGTAATGAAGTTGCTACCACTGATGTGACTGTTACCAATAATGGAACATTTCCTGATGGAGCAGATGAACCCCACGTGAAGTAGAAGCCAATGAGATGGGGACCAGTACGGAAGAAGATACGTCCTGTAAAATTAAGAGACTTTGTTGTATTTTATTTTGTGTTTGTAAATTCTGTACATTTATTTAATTTATTGTTAATTACCTATTGGTTAAATGTAAGTGGCTATTGTTCGGGATGACCAATACTAAGTTTCTCGAAGGATCATGAATTATCAGGGAGGCCCGAGTTTCTTCAAGGTGCCCTCTTTTTAGTATGTAAGCCTGGCAAGAAAAACCAGCGGCATGGCAGAGATAGATCGAAGAGATTGAATTGAAGATATAGATAATTGAGTCAAGGGAACAGTAGACACCGTAAGTAAAGTGTGTGAATCACTGTGATTTATAGAGTGTGTTATAAAGGTTGTTAAGTTTAAAGTGACTGTGGCAATTCTGTGTATTACAAAGTTGTATCGAGAAAGAATAAACTAATTTTAATCAAGAAAGGACTTGTATCGCTGAAGTTTCTCGAAAAGAATTTATATCGGAAATTATCAAACGAGAAGATACGCAACAGTATTGATGTACCAAGTAAAGTATTGTCAAAGATGTATTTCATTCGATTCTCTAACATTTACACAAACAAAAATTGTGTCAGTATAGTACCATCAGGATTTATTGTATCTAGAAGGATAAATAGAACTTATTGTTTCATGAAATGTTTCTAACCAGTCATTATCTTGGGGTAAAACTGTAAGAGTAGCTTCTACAAATGTACGTAGAACTATGGTTTTCTTCCAGTTTGTTAAATACTTTAATTTCTAAGTCAACCATGAAAACATCGCACATAAGAAGGGATACAGGTGTTCCCATATTTAGTCCCTGAGTCTGTTGAAACGGTTTATTGTTAAAATGAAAATAGGAGTTTCTAAATCATGATTTTACTATAGTTTTCATCTTTTTCCTACTTCAGGTGTAGATATTTCAGCGAGTTTCAATTTACTATAGTTCATATTTCCTCTTTTCCTACTTCAATTGTAGATATTTTTGCATTCTGCTCACTGTGGAGAATCAAAGTCCGAATTTTTGCACTGTAAGTTTGTAAATTTACTGCTGACCCAATGAGAGACACATTTGGTTGTAACAATATTAATTGTGGTTAATTAGTTATATTCATTTAGAGATTTAGAGTGAAAATTATAAAGAAAATTCAACAAGAAGAACTGTTGAACAAATAGTACTGTAAGGACCAGAATCTTTTGCAGTGCAGTATAAACTTTAATGCACAAAATATTTAATGTAAACTAATATTGGTTTCATGAAATAACTGTTTGCTGTAATATGAACAACTTTATTTTTGTCTTTTATAAAACATAATTTTGATTTTCCATTTATTTTTGTACATATTATTTAATCAAACACAGATTGAACAGTAAACTTATTCACTTTTGACAATGTATGATAAAAATATGGCATATGCTATAATGACTGCTTCATTCAAATAATGGGTTTTACTTGAAAAAAACTTTTTAGTGTGAATATATATCAATTATTGAAATGAATTAGTAATATTGCTTTTTGCATATACAGTGAAACATGCTTAATATAATTAAATATATAAGTAAAAACTATAAACACTATCTGCCTCATTTCATCCTTTTCAGGACCATGCAAAATAAATGACTATAATTGTTAAAAGTACAATATGCAAGTTACATAAATTGTTAGTTTTGAAGCTTTAATTGTTACTGAAGCAAAAACTATATTCATGATGTCAGAAAAACATGTAGGTTCAAGAAGTCTTGATACAAGATGATAAAAACCCAGCACTTTCGAAAGGTGGACCTTTCTTCTTCAGGGGCAAACTGGGAATGGCGGTGTAATTGAATGAGTGATATATAAAGGGAGTTGAGTGATGTCTTGAAGGTAATCTGGTTTTCCAGGAAGTGTTTAGTATATTTTTCCATGTACTGTTGTAAGTGTACAATGTAGCCGACAACGAGAGCATTAGGCAATAAGGTGTTAGGGATATTTTGCTTTAGAATTGGCTAAATATATATACATGTATAACTGTACTTAAGCATTTAAGTAAAATAAAGTTGTCACCTGGAAAAAGATATTGTTGCGTCAGCGAGGTCACGTGACTAGTATCACGCCACTCCTTCTCTCGAACCTTCGGGAATTATCGGGAGACTACTAGATTGGGGGTA